TTGGCTGTGAGCCTTGCTGTGCTATATGAATACCTAGCACCAAACACCATCCCCAGAGACTCTGATTAATTGGTTTGGGGAGGGGTTAAATGCTCCCAGGTCATTCTACCTGGACAGGGTTGAGGCTCCTGCCTCTGGCCCCTACCTGAGAAGCCTCCCTCTTCTACTCACACTTTCCACGCCTCTCACTTTCCCTTCCTCCCACCTCAGACTTCGGAAGAATGCATCAATCGGTAAGTTACTTAAAGGGAGGAGGCGTGTTCTGAGGTTTGAGCAGCAACTTCTTTCTGCGGCCATGTCGGGGACATAGTCACTAGTCAGCCGGCCTAGGTCTGCTCTTTCACCGGTAGCTGCAATATTGTTGAAACACCTTCCACACCGCCTCACAGAATCCCCACAAAAACCGTAGGTAGTAGCATTGCCCTAATTTGAGAGAGGAGCAAACAAAGCTGTAGCGAGGTGAAGATGCACGAAAGGCAACGTGAAGTAATAAACACCCAGGGTTCACTTCCCTGGCTGTGAGGTCACACAAAGCAGATGGCTTTAGCCGACACTTTTGGTTGCCCCCAGAATGGTGGGTCCCAAAAGCTATGTCCGCGTTCAGATCTCCAGTGCATATCATCTTATAAGGCAAAAGATGTGATTAAGTTAAGGATCTTGGGTTGCTCGGTTCAGCCTTGAACGTGTGGTGTTGAGGACTCAGCCGCCCTGGGTGTCCGTGGGAGGGAGCACGGCGGCCCGGGCTTCAGGCCCCTGCCACCGAGGCTTTGTCATGACGTCTCACACTCGAGGGGCCCAGCGTTGACCGGTTTCATGGTGATCACCTCGAGCGGGAAGGAAAGCGTTATTTCCTTAGCGGTTCTCCCTCAGTCGGCCACCGACTCCTGTTTTTTGACGTCTAGTCTCTGTCGCATCTGTGCTATGGCGAGCGCTGGGAGGTGAACCCAGTGGGAATCACAGGACGTGGCTTCCATACCCCTCGTGGGGAACAGTCCCTCACCCTTGCGCCACACAGGTGCACCCAGGAGGCACTAAAAGATTGAATGCCTGAGTGAGAATTCCTGTTTCTGGTTCCTGGGACTAATGAGGCCCCATACCGCCCATCAGTTAAATGGGAGCCCCTGGTCAGCCCACGTGGCTGTGCGGCCCCAGTGAGATCATGCAGGTAAGGGGTACTTTCGGCCACACAAACATACGGCCTGCGAATGTGGGGGGTTCGGCTTTTTTGGCACTGCTAAGGAGTGGACATAAACTATGCATTGTGTCCCCAAGGTTTGTGTGGAACTTTATGGAATTCTGTAGATGGTGTCTGAAAACGCTACTGAGGAAAGGAGACATCTTACCCAGTTAAAGTGTAGCCTCCGTAACTGCTTTGGTAAGAGAGGAATGTGCACGTGGCCCAGTGTTAAGAAAATTCCAAGTAGCCGACAATGTTTACCAGCAAAATACACACAAGTCTTAACCCATCAGTGATGCGTTTGAACATGAGGATATAAAGAAGTGAGCCCGTGGAGGGGGGCCTGAACAGGGTGGCTGGACCCACGCTGGGGGCGGGGGAACCTGTGTAGGGAGCTGGGGAGACTCGGGCACAGCATGGGGGCCAGATTTCATCATGAGGGCTTTGCAAAGGTGACTCAGCCTGATCCACAGCTGAGGGTCCCTGAAGGGTGTGGGCAGGGTCAGAGCGCAATCAGATCTGGTTTTAGAAAGCCTCACTGCTTGAGCAGCGAGGAGGGGAGATGGGCAGAGACGGTGACTTAGGAGAAGATGCTGACAGCCCCTCGGAGCACCTACCATGGGCAGGGGGTAGGGATGGATTAAACACTAAGGAAAAACAGATGTGTAGCCAAAATTGTAAATTAGATACAGCTTAGGATACGGAGAGAGTAAGTGAAGGAAACAAATACAAAGGTATTCCGGGCTTGGGTGTATCTGTTAGCACAGGGAGTCTGGAGAGACCCCAGCATTCGGTGTAACAAGGGAAGTCAAATCTGAGACAAGGCTGAAGGACCCACTTCGGCCTGGAACACGAGCCTGGTGGGGGAAGTGCTCTCACGTTTCCATCCTGAAACGCTGGACACATCATTTCAGGTAGGGGTGAGTCCGAACCCTGAGGGCCCCAAGTCCTTGGCAGTTTTTGGAGTTGTCTGTTAGAAAGGGGATAATACCCAGTGCAGCACTGGGCTTTGGGGTCTGTGGCAGTGAGGGACCCTGCACTTAATTAAGCTTTGCTGACTTCCGCATACATTTGTCCATGTGTGGTGGCAGGTGGCCAGCCCTGTCCCCGTCCCCGGCCTGAGATCGTGTCTGCGACCAAGCCCACGTAGCTCCCCTCTTGCCCGAGGTACCATTTCCCCAGAAGTGGGCTGGTCTTCCCCTGCACTCCTTCACGGAGTCTGCCGCAGAGGTACGCATCTCCAAGCAGTATTTTATTCACTTTTGTGTGTTTCTGGGCTTCCTAAACATGGTGTCACAAGCACGTATTGCTTTGCAACTCACCTTCTTTGCACAAAGTATTTGTGAGATTTCAGCGTGCTGACGTATGTGGCTGGCGTTGGTTCCTTTTCCTCATCATCTCCACTTCGCACGGCACCGCGACCTGTGCTCACGTGGGCACCGTGTCCTCCGCTCACACGGTGCCGAGTTGTCAATCCGTCCGGGCTGCTCTAACAAAAGGCCACAGACGGACAGGTTTATTGCTCACCTTCCTGCAGGCTGGAGGTGTGAGATCAGGGGGCCTGTGGGGCCCAGGGAGGGGCAGACTTCTCTCTGTCCTCACGTGGTGGACGGTGGACAGGTCTAGGAAGCTGTCTGGGGTCTCTTATAAGAGGGATCTAATCCCATTCCTGGGGACCACACCCTCACGGCCTAATCGCCTCCAAAGGCCCACAGGCTGCCCAGCAAGTGCTGTTGGATCCCGTCCCAGCAGCGAAGAGCTCCCTGGCTCCATTCACCTTCTTTCACCAATCTGGCAGATGGAAACCAGTAATCCACACTGCACGTTCTTCACTGAGGCCGGAATATTCTCAGAATTTCATTAGCTTGATGTGTTCTCCTGTGTGCTGAGAACCTTCCTGGGTTTCTGCCCACTTTGGCACTCGCTTGCTGCTTTTCGCTTGCTCACTGGCTGGCTGGGAGATCTTAGTATGTTCTGAAAAGTAATGCTTTCTTTGCTATGTGTGCCGGAACGTTTTCTCATTAGTGGCTTACTTTTTTTCTGATTAAGTTCATCTTAAAATCACCCTTTTCCATCATGGTTTCTAATTTTGTGTCTTGCAAAATCCTGTCCAAAAATGTCACAAGGACCATCTAAGTTGCAAGGTGTTAACCTACCCAATCGGATGCCTGTGTGGTGTGAGGCAGAGATCCCACTCCGTCTTCCCACCTGGGTACCAGGCGCCCCAGAGCTGTTGGATAAACACGGATCCTTCCTGGTGGAGAACCAGCTTCCACATGTGTGGTCCATCTGGGTCCGTGGCTGCACGGAAGCCACACGAAGTCACTCACTGCAGCTTTCCGGTGAGAACTGCCATCTGGGCAGACAAGGCCTCCCTGATGGCCTGTGAGGCTCACACTCGTCAGGTGGCCCAGCGGCCTCATACTAGTGCATCCAGCTCTCGGCCTTGTCCGTCCCCGAGCTGGCGGATCGCATGTGTGTGCAGGGGACCATCTTACACACTTTCTGGGTCTGGTCTCACCTTGGCCACCACCCCCTGCTCAGTCCCCTCTCCTGTCCTCCGGTTGCTATTCCAGACCTTCACCCCCTACCCCACTCTGAGCATTTTGACAACTGCTGGCAGACTTGGGCTGACCAGCTGGGGACACTCCGCCTTTTCCCCCCACACAGACTTCCCTGCCTGGGCTGCCGTTCTGCCTCCCTCCTTTTCTGCTCTGAATCCAGCCCCAGGGACCTTGCTCTATCCTTGTCCCTTTTCTTCCCTGCACTTCACAGTTTCCTCGCTGGTTTCCTTTTCTAGGTCCCCAGATTTCTTTCATCTTTAACAGTGAAAGAAAAATAGGATGAAACAAGTTCAAAATTCCAAGCAGAAACAGAAATCCTTTCGGTAGTATGTCAAGAATTCTAGGGAACCAGGGGTGTGGGGTGACGCACCCTCCCCTCTGCCCCCGCATGCCCCCCTACACGGCCCCCTCACCCCATCGGCCTCAGCTGCTTCCTCCCTGCGGGGCTTTCGAGTTCCTTCTGTAGGCAGGATAGTGTCCTGAGCATCAGACCTAATGTTCCATTGCTTCCAGACCTGCCACCTGGCTGCCTCAGGTGCTCATCAAGCTCGATGTGGAACTTCCTATCGTGCACCCCCTCCCCGAATTCTTCCCGTGCTCACTCCAGGCAGACCTGAGGGCTACTCTGGACAACGCCCTCTTCACCCACTTGCTGGCAAAGTCCTGTCCTCCTACCCCCTAAATATGTCTCCAGATCACCCGTATATATACTGCAGAAAAAACAGAACTGTCATCACCCAGAAAGGCATTCCACACACGCTTGCTCATTGGTCTCCATGATCCTCAGGCATTTAAGAGGTGTGCATGTTCTGAAGGGCGTGGGGACACTCCATGATGCCATCTGTGGTTGGGTGCCTGCACCTGCCTCTCCTTCGGTCGTCCTACCAGCCAGGACGGTGGGATCTGACGTGGCTGTGCCATCTGTACAGGCCCACGCACCTGGTGAGGGCCGGTCTCCCAGGTCTGCGGGCATGGGCTCCTCCCACTGCATACACCGTGTTCCAGCTCGCTGAGGAAGCACAGCATGTACTAGGTTACTACAAGCCATGCCGCGTGTGCAGCCTTTCCACAGCAATCCTGGAGAGGGTACCTTGTGGATCTGTGAGCTGAACTTCCTTCAGTCCTCAAATGCTTTCACGTGTTCAAGATTCCAAAGTATATGGAAGGAAGCTACTTCTGACATCTTTTTGTTACTTTTCACAGATTTTATATAGTTACTCAACATAAAAGCATAAAATACTCAACTCGTTCTCCTCATTTACATGGTATAAAGCATTTAATAACAAAAATCTCTTATCGTGAAAGATGATGTTCACTAGAGCAGAAACACTGTCCACGATTGATTCAGAGAGAACGCAAAATACGTTCCATTTCATGATTTTGCCGTCTATAGGAAAATCGCCACTTCAGTGTGTCTAAATGCAATTACTACCCTTACACTCACTTTTATGAGCCGTGTGTTCTTTCCTGTCTTACTCTGCAGACTCGGGAGGAGAGCGGGGAGACCAGCCTGCGGGTGTGCGGGGTTCCACATCCCCCCCCCAGAAGCCGCGCGTGCCTGAGTCCCGCGATCCCCTCAGGATCGATTGTCTTCGATGACAATAGTTCTTCCAGGGAAGGACTCAAGTTCAACAAATATGTATCGAAATTCATATTCGCCACTTTCTGGGTTCTGAAAAACAAACATTTCCAGGTGTTAGTTCTCTCCCCAGCGCCTACGTCCCGCTGCATCCGAGCCCTGAGTCCCCACACAGTCCCCGCCGTGGTCCCCACACCTCTTTCACTTCGAGATGCACTGTTCCTTGCTTCCCAGGCTCGGAGCCTTGGATGTAGAACTTCACACGCATGTGTTTCAGCCCATCCTTGACGTACTCAATGAAACTGCCGGGAAAATGAAAGAGCATGGCCTGAATGGCCTGCATCTAGAACTCACCCGAGCTCTGCCCATACGAGCGACCCGCGGTACCTGACGTGCTGCCTTCGCCCGCGGCGGGTCGCCTCCCCGTAGCCCTTCACCGGCTCACCAAAGACACTGATCACCTGTGGGACACACCGGCTCTGTAAGGGCGCCTTCTTGTAAGCTTCCCAGGGAAACAGTTTTTGACAAATCAAGTCAGTTTTGAGAAAAAAAAAAATCATTAAACCTGCGACCCTTTCAAAATGACAACTCCGACGAGAACACGGGAAAAAATGAAATTATGCAAAACCCTCCCACAAAGAGAGGGAAACGGGACTTCACCGTGTGACCTGTAGTTGCAGAGCAGTGGAGGCCGAAGCCACATTGTTCTTTCTTCCCGCAGAAAATCCAAACACCACGAAGTGTTCAAATGGTTGGACGTTTTTAGTGAAATTTATCTAACGGGGTCTAATACTAAAAGCTACAAGGACAAAACATTTCTTGAGTCACTAAACACAGTGAAATAAAACAAGTACAGGTTTCGGCAGCTACATGGACGTTCGCTTCACCACTTTGCTTTTGACAAAGACCTACGTGAACAGCTGTTCTGAGAAAAATCCAAAGGATTCTGGTGTTTACGAAATGGTAGCTGCCTCCTCACTTGAGGAGAGCAGGGGAAACCCTAACAACGATCTGTTTACAACAAACCAGACCCAGAGGCATGAAAGTGATTCCGAAGGGAAAACTCACAATCACATGGAAAGGTAGTTTTTACTGAATTTAAGGTGCAAATACTTTGGAGCCTTTCCAAAAAAAGAACTAGAACTGGAATGTTCTGTACTCCCTGCTGCTTTTCCACTTACTCAGCGCTGGGTCTCCCTGCCTCCTCCTCCACCGTTCTCACAGGCCCAGAGTCCAACTACAAGAAATCCACAGATTTAAGAGAAAGGTGCCAGAGACCGTTAGCCTGAGGTCTTCTCCCTGACAGGACTGGAAAACCGGTGGAGCGAGCGGAGTGGGGGCCCCAGGGAAACCGGTCAGGGTGGCTTCACATGTGTCCCCTCACTGGGCAGAGCGTGGTCTATCTCGGGCATCACTCCTGGGTCTGTGCACAAAACCCCCCCGGTGGTTATGGTGCCATCTGCCATCTTCCTTCCCAGGACGAGGACTAAGATTTCAGTGAGCAGTATTTTTCAATGCTGAAGCTTTCCATCCAGGGGGGTAGGAAATCTGGCACTTCACAGGCTTTCTATCTGTGACTGGAAAGCACCACAGAAAGCCCTCTTTCTGGACAGGACCCGTAACAGAATCGAGGCAACTTTTCCACATGTCGGCCGCCTCCAGGAATGCTTTACAGGCTGTGCTTAAGTGCACAGGCTTTGGAGTCAGATAAACTTGGGCTCAGGCCCTGACCGGCCCACTTCCTGCTCAGCGATCTCAGGGCTACCTGATCTCTGAAGTGTGGGTCTCCCCTTCTGCAAACAGCAGAATACTATCTAACACACATGGTTTTTGTGAGATCCAAGAAAGATGCGCTGAGCCTAGTGCCTGGTGTCTAATGTGCCCAAGGGTCAATAATTCTTAGGATCAGGAGGTCGTGAATCAGGCTTTTTAAAAGACTAGAAACGTCATGTGAGTTTAAAGGTCTAAGCACTTAATGTCTACGGCAACTAGTAAAGTGCCTCTCTTGCATAATTAGGATGAAATCCCCCCACAGGCCTTTGGGCGATGGAGGTCTTGAAGCATGTCAAGTATGGAACAGAGAGCTAAAAACAATCACCATCCAACCATTATGCCTTTGTTATCATACAACCACCACTAGCCTCAGAACCAAAGTGGGTTCCGCCTACTTCCACCCATCGAAGTTTTCTCAGCATCCTCAGAGCATGTGTAACTCGATCCCAAGGACTCACCTCTGGATGTGATCTGCATTTTTCTAAGGCTTTCCCATAGATCTTATTAGGACTGGACGAAGAAAACAGTTCTCTGAAAATCGTGTAAAACAGGCCACCTGAAAATTGTAGAGAAAGGAGATCAGGCAAAGCAAGAGCAAGACAAAGGAGGAGTCGTAACGATTTTGGGGGTGTTCTACTTGCTGTGTCTGACCTGTGATGCCGATTCCAATAAGAACCACCACCAGGTAGGTAAAATCTCTCCCAGCTTCCTTCACTGTAACGAGAAAGCACCGCCCAGTTACGCATGCGCCCTGCGAGCTCCTGCTCCAGCGCTTTTGGGGGGTGAGCCCACACGCGGGACCCCTGCCTGTGTTCTGGGGCGCAGGATCCTGGTTCTGGGAAGCTGAACCACCTGAGCAAAGTTTTCAAAAGAACCTCGGCAGAATTCTGGGCCCAGGAATCCGTCCTTTTATTGCATTTGTTGCATTATAAAATTTGCCTCCTTACTTTCCCAAGTGATCCAGGCCCTCGGCTGGAACAGGTTAGGCAACCCTGGACACGTTGTGCTGTTCGCAGACCAAGGCAAGTGTCCGCTTTGTGGGCCGAGGTCCAAGGCCTCAAACTTGGTCTTGGCTCTTCACGGCCACGTTCCCGCCCGGTGGGCGGGCCACCTCCTCTCCTGGCCGCGCACGATAAACACAGAACGGGATTTGCCAACAGGAACTCGCCCGGCCACACAGATTTGTGAATCAAATGACTTAGAAAATGGGGAATCTGCACAGATACTGCACTTTGTGTTTTCAACGCTGATAAAGATGAGTGTGTGGACTAACCGGAAGCTCTGAGAGCGAAACGAATCCAAGGTGTCACCATGGGACGCGGCACACACGTGCACGTATTTGCATGCGCTGATGGAAGGATCTACACGTTTGAGCTGTTTTACCATTACAGTCACAAATGCACCTTCTTCACTGGTGCTGAAAACGTGACTCACGGCCCGATGTTCTATCTATAGGTTAATTTATTGGCTGCAGTAAGAACACAGATTTCTGGAATATAAATTTACAGACTTTTCAGAAAAACAAAATGTTAACAGTGGTTGTTGCTATTGTTTTCTCCAAGTTCCCCTTCTGTACACTGAGCTTCTATTACTTCCACAAAATAAAACTTATTTAAAAGCACTCTAGCAAAGAGTAATCCTCAACTCCTCCAGTACAGGTTCCTAACCACAAAGAGGGGATTCAAAAAATAAAAAGACTGCATCGGCCCAAGCCTAAGTCATGGCTTGATCCCCACAATCGCTGTCAGCCCACAGTCCACGTCCTCGGGTGTAGAGAGGCCAACAGTGAGAACTTCTCATTTTATTAAGGTCACAAAAGATAAACTTAACAAATATTAACTGCCAGGTGTGTGCCAGCCCCAAGTTGAGGACACACTAATGGCTATACTGTAAGTTGTCGTATTAGTCCCTGTTCCCAGATCAGGCCTCTGGCCCCAACACCTGAATCCTGACTGCCCATCCAACACTCACACCAGTCTTGCTCAGGGCACCTGGAAGGCCATCTTCTCTATTTATGCAGCCACAAACATCTGTTGTGGATCTACCGTGTGCAAAGCTATTATCCACAGTCTACACATTTTCCAAGTCTGTTTCAGCATCATTTCACAGTTGTCTTCAACACAAGCTGCTCCTTGCCCACATTCCTGCGATTCTCTACCCCTCCTACCACAGGGTGCTGTGGTGAGCCACCCTGATCCTCCCCTCAGGACTGAGCCTCCCGATTCCCTCAGCCAAGCTCCCCACTAGGCAATTCCTTCATCTGGAGGGCGCCCTCTCACCAGGGTCAGGGCCGTTCTCACACCCGATGCTTGGCTGGTGCTGAAGTAGAAGGTGCAGCCCCCACGCCCGAAGAGGGAAGGACTGTGATGTGCCAGTCCAGTCCCAGGGCTCTCCGGGGAATAGGCAAATATGTGACCCAACTTGTCCCTCTGGGTCATCCTGCTTCTCATACCTTCACAGATGTGTTCTCAGAGCACTCCCAACAAGCCTCCTGTATGCAAATCCCACCTACAGCACCTGCTACCAGGAGCGGTCCCAGAAAGTAGCTCTGAACTGGGACTTCGGAGCTGGACCAGTGGCCGCTGGCCGCATCGAGGCCCCTGTCCCTGGTGGCAGAGCACAGCCGACAGGACCGCATGCGCTGCTGGTGCGCTTGCAGCTGTCCCCAACGGTGACCTGGGATGTGGTACTGGTAAAAGAGAATGCGGATTGGTACCACATTTTGGGAACAAGCAATCTTATGAACTCAGACTGGATGGCTGTCGTCGGGGGACCACCAATGCACTGGATGAAGAGAGAAGATGAGAATAATTACCGATGAAGATGAAGTGCCAAAAAGGCAGAGGCCTCCTGGGGAGCAAAACGATGCCCCTCTGTTGTACCCAGAGGGCAGAGAAGCTGTGAGGCCCAGGGCATAAAGGGAAGCAGAGAGGTTGGACTCTCAAACCCAACAGGTCTTCATGCCGAGTCCCGGGTCCTGATGTGGGAGGAAAGAGGAGCTGAGGCTTGGTGTGGGGACATCTAGGCTGATGCACTTAAAAATCCTGAGTCCTCAGGATCTCCTGAACCCTTTGGCCTTGAAGCATCAGCTCTTTCTCCTCCTTTAAGAGTAGGTGGGGGCTTCCATTTAGCAAGACATGTGCTCTGGCCAGGTTACAGCATAACTGGGAGGAAGGAGGAAAGGACCATGACCAGAGGGAGCCGGAGGCCCCACCGGCAGGTGCTAAGAGAGCACACAGGTGACGGGGTCCTGAGGCCAGTATGAAGGGACACAGAACAGACTAGTGAGAGTTGGTCAACACGGGAACACTCTTCTGTGGTCACGAACTGAAGTCTGGCAAGCACCCCGGAAGCTGATGCAGTTAGGTTCTATGCTCTTGGAAACATGGAGAGAGGATGGTCCACATTAAGTGAGGTGAAATGGCAAATTGTGGAGGAAAGGATGAAAAGGCTCAGAGAACGGGCATGCTAGGATGGGTATAGTAAAGGCTGAAACCCACCAGCCGACTGTCCTGTCAGAGGACCCGGGGACACAGAACAGGGTATCCTTATGGTCGGCCGTGACACTTGAACCATCAGAAGCCAGGTGGGTGCCACCACCACAATGAATGGCAAGGGTGGGGTGGCAGCCAGGGGTGTCCGGCCTGGTGATGCCACTGCAACGTGGTGTTCCCAAGGGCAAGACTGACGGGTAGCTGACAAGGACATCAATCAATCTGCACAATCCTAAGGAATTAATTTTGGGTGACCAGGAAGCTGAAGGCAGATGCCCCAACGCAAAGTCATGAGGACTGGCTCAGTTTCTGGACCTGAGCACCTGAAACTTACCCAGACTCCCACTAGGAGGGACCTGACCACATACATAGGATTCCCTGGGCCTTCACCAAAGAGCCCTATAGTCGTCAACTTGGTAAGCATACACTGGAAGAAGAGGAACACCCAAACATTTCAGGGTCTGTTGGACAGAGTCTGAGATGACAGTGACACCCCTGGACCCAAAGTCACATGGCGCCTCTTTTAGGTTTACATAGTGGCCATGTAATATGGAGTGTGACTTGTAATAGGCTCATAGCTGGGTCCACAGATTTATTTGGTTATCATTTATTTCCAGTGTGTAAACTGAATGGATATACTCGTAATTGACAACAACAATTCCTACTTTGGTTCCTCTGGGGGTGGGTTGAAAGCTACCATAATGGGAAAAGCTGAATGGGAGCCTCTGAAACTGCACTCCCCCTGCCCCTCCCCAGACGGAGACAGTAAATCCAAAACAGTATTACATCCATGGGGGAGCGTCAGCCATAGTGCTACCTTAAGAAGACCCAAAGATACAAAGGCGGTGGTCACCAACATATTCCCATGTAACTTACCAGTCTGCCCCTTATAAAAATCAGGCAGAACCTGGAGTAGGACAGTGACCCACTAGAAATTCAACCACGTAGTCGTCCCAATACAGATGCAATGCCAGATATGGTAACCTTACAGGAGCACGTTAACAGACTCATGGCTTTGGCCACTGATCTGGAGAAGGCCTTCGTTTCCAACTCTACTGAGAGGAAGCAGCGGTAGCAGTCTGCAATAACACGAAACAGGTAATAACATGTATGTGTACGGTCTTGCCTAGGATTTGTTAGGTCTCTTACTCTGTTACAGTGCAGTTTTAAGGGACCTGGACCTTCTGGATTTTGGCTGTCCTGTACAGTAACCACACACCACACATGGCTATTTGAGTTTAATTTTAAAATCAAGTTAACTTAAAATTAAATAAACATTCAGTTCTTCAATCACACTAACGACATTTTAAGAGCTGAGTAGCCACGTGTGGCTGTTGGCCACCATACTGAGACAGCATACATCTGGAATATTTCCATCACTGCATAAAGTTTTATTTGGACAATGCTGTTTGGACATTCTGCATAACATCACATTTATCCATTCTATCTATGCCATTATATTAGAGACAAAAGTAGTAAGGGGGACATGTGTTGCGAAGCTTGAAAACACATGTACTATGTGTGGGGGGGGATTAGCCTCAAAAATAGATCCAGGGCTCACCAACCACACAAACAAAAGTCTTAGGGGTTCACTCTATGGGGCATGTTGAGACCCCCTATCCCAAATAAACCACTGCATCCCGTATGTCCTACCACAACGTGTGACAGGTCCCTTTGGACTCTAGGTGCAGCACATTCCGCGTTTGGGAACACTGCTCCCACTCATTCACTGAGTCATCAGGAAGACTGTCACCTTTGAATGGGGTCCAGATCAGGACCGGACTCTGCAGCAGGACCCAACTGCAGTGTAAGCAGTACGGTCGCTGGAGCCAGACGACCTGACACATGCTGTTGGAACAGGTCTATGCCTTTGTCCTCTGCATGCGGGCTGTTCCTTCATGCTCAACTTTTAATCACCCCTCACAACCCTGTTCAGGGTATTATGAAGGAATGATTACCTGTTTTACATATTCAGCAGACTGCAAAACAACGGGTAGGATCCAGTTAAGTTTTTCTGTTAATGTTGTTAAAAAGTATATGCATCGAAATGACATAAATATTAACAGTAGTTATGTTTGCATGGTATGATCATGGGCGTCTGAAGGACATCGATCAATCTTCCTTCCTACTTCCTCTTTGCTTCCTACTTATTTTTTCTACAAATTACTTGTAAAATGAAAAAATAAAAATTAAATTCATTACCTCATCTGTGAAAACTTCTCTGACTTTCCCTGACAGAATTACATTTCGCCTTTCCTATTAAATACGTCCTATTACTTCCCATGTCACCTGCTGGTAAATGATGTTTTGAACATGTTTAACTCTGTAGCAGAAAGAGTCTAACTCAGTATCTGGGCACAGCAGGCATTCAAGAGCAGTGTTGAGTTGACCTACCTGAGCTAAGCCCTAGGATTATGAGTCGGTAGTAGCTCCTTTATTTATTCTACCCAATTACTCTGTATCATATACTTCCAGGTACTCTCTTTGTGGCACAATTACTGTTTTCACTGTTTTTATCCATTCTCTTCCTCATTAAGTGCTAACCTATTTGTGTATAGGAGTTCCTGGCACACCCGTGAGCATCCACTCAAGTGTTAAGCATGGAAAACGGAAGCTCAGGAAATACTTGTGAATGGCTTTTCTAAAGAGCACGGACCTGGGTATCACACAATTAAGATGAGGAAACTTCGGTTTTAACTTTCAGTCGTGGAAACTGAGGAAGTGTGCCTCATACATGAAGAGCTAATGTTTGTCTGAAGGAGCGAATAGGACACTCAAGTGAGATGAAACGACATCTGTGAAATCTACTTACTTACACCCAACAATGGTTAAGTTTTACAGCTCCACACTAAAACTAATAAAAGCTGAACATTTTTAGCCATAATTCAACAAAGTTATGTCAAAATCAACTTGCAAATCTGAGTTCAAGTCTGTGAAGAAAATTGTAGACCTATATTCTCAAATTCTCAACTGTGTTGAAGGCTCTAGCCTTTAATTCGTGTGAACTGTTCTTCTAGCTTTGGCACCGAATTCGTGCAAAAAGACACTCCTGGCTCTCGGCTCGTTAGTTGAAAGACCGACCATTGCTGTTACCTTTCTGTGACGTTGAGACGATGGTCTCCCCGGTCTCTCTGTGCACAGACACCTGCTTGCTGCTGTCCTCTTTTGCTCTCGGGGGGCTCTGCCCCTGCGTCCAGATGGTTTTCTGGGTGACGTCAGGGGCACATTTAGGGCGCACCGTTTTCTTTGGCTCTCGCAGACCCCAGCTCAAAGCGGGCGCAGTCTTCAAGCAAGCTTTGTTAAGCACTAAGTGTGGCAGAAACAGCCGCTTCCCGGAGGACCTGCGCAGCTTCTCCGCACACTGTACAGCTCGTAAAAAGGTACAAATCATGTTCACAGAAAACCGCTCCGCTTTGGAAACGTGACAACTACGAACAGCAAAGTTTCACCGCACAATACACACCCCGCCGGAGCGTACTCAGGTCTACACATTCACACCGCTAATTCTGCATGGCGTGTTCGGCGAAAACGTTAGCTCCCAAAAGAAGTTGCGTCCACCTCCTCTTCTCGTCGGTGCTCTTTTTGCTGGAATTAAAACACTTTAATTACCTTCCATACTGACAGTCACACTCTACCCGCCATGCCTTTGCAAAGGAAGCTGGGAAACCTCGGGGAGTCCTGGGAATAGTAGTCCGAAGACCTCACTCCTCACCGAGTTACCGCAAGGGGGAAAGGCGCCAGGACTACAACTCCCATAGTGCAAGGCGGCCAGAGCCAGTGCCGGCCTTTTCACCACCTCCCAGAGTTGCCTGCGCATGCGCTGCTCGTATTTGGGACGGTAGGGGTGGGCGGGGCGGTTCGTACAAGTGCCAAGAAAGAAATTAGCGATTACAAACTGGGTGTTCTTGCAACTCTCTAGAGAGAACCGTGTAAACTGGTAAATTCTCAGTCTGACCGTGGCCTTGCCGTTCCTTAGCCTTTGCGTTTGAGTTTCTAACCAAGGAAACCAGACAGGAAGCACAAATTTCCCCAGACCCAGCAGGTGGGGAGGGACCCGGCCGCCGCAGTGCCCAACGCCAGTGCCCGAAACTCAAAGGCCGCTTGCCGCGCAGCGTCCTCACCATCAGGCCATCGGGTGTGGGAAGAAGCAGGGCCCCAGAAATTTCTAGAACGGCTCCGGGCGCCGGCGTAAAGGCCGTACCGCCAACCGTCCTTGCGCACGCGCGGCGGAGAACGTGCCGGCGTCGAGTGGGCGTGGCGCGGGGCGGTGCGTTCCTCCCTCCAGCTGCCGCTCCGCCTCTGGCGTGTCTGTGGAGTCTCCATGGCGACGGGACGCGGCCGGCTACTGCAACAGCACTGGCGCGGGCTCCAGGCGCTGCGTTTGCCGCCTGGCGGCGTCGGCGCGGCCCCCGGGCCCGCCGGGTTCAGGTGACTCTCGCGGGGCCGTGGGTCGGGTCTCTGCTCTGCCACCCTACCCCCCTGTTTTCATTCGTTCGGCTGCGGCGCGTCGCGCGGCTCTTTTTAGTGCGGGAAAGGTCTGAAAAACCGCGGGAGGAAATCTCTTCAACTTGGAAACGTGGGGTTACCCTAAGTCCTGATACAAGTAGACCAGTTTCCCCCGGAGACGTTATTCCTCCTTCACTGAATTCTAGGCAGTGTGAGGAACAGGGAGCCCTTGAGCGGCGCTTGGCGCGGATGCGTTCCGCCTGGGAGGGCAGGTGCACTTCGCTGGTCCGCACCTGCAAGCCGCCGAGAGGGCAGCGTTCCCTCTGCATCTGCGGGCCGCCTAGACCGCAGCCTTCCAGAACGCTCCCCCAAAGTCGCTCGCATCTTCCGTGGCCGGAAATCACCTAGAGTCCTTTTTAGGAATCTGTAAGTTAGAGAGGTAGAGTCCACTGAGCAAAACGCTACCCACGTTCTGTCCCGTCCCCAATTCGTGAGTGGAGGGCACAACTCCTAAGCAGATAGTTCTGGCGGGCGGGTTGGTCCAGACGCATCTTTTCCTGGGGCAGAAGTTTCTGCACTGCAGACTTCAAGGCCAAATCTGCGTTTCTAAGCCAACCCTGAAGGGATGCCTATAGATAGCCACCCCTGGGTGCTCAGCTCCTAATCCCGTTTTCCCTAAGTGCTGGGCTTGTGCTATTCTTGTTCCAGTGTCTAGGGACCTGTCTCTCCTCCATGCCTCTTGGGTACCCTGGATCTGAAGGGTGGTCTTCTTCCACCACGGCAGGTGGCAGGAGAGGGGGCAGGAAGCAGGGGGTGGAGCTACCTTGCATGAGGAGCTTTAGCTTAATTCCAAGGGCGATGCTTCATCACAGTGAATGCTCCAGTATGTCAGAGGTACCAACATGCTATCATGGTACCTTATTAGATCCTTTGTATTTTATGGTGAGTGGTTCCTTCCTAGCTTTGTGCCCATCATCCCAGTTAGTTTGCCAGGTGGAGGGACAATACAAAGAACAATTTGCATTCTTGAGAATTCTCTTTGCTTGCAAGTCTTCATGATTTGTAAAATATAAAAATTCATCCATATTATGCTTCTAATAAACCAAATGTCTATGTTTAAGCATAACAAATGATTCTTTTCCTTCACACTTCAACAAGTTAAGTTACTTTTTTGTTTCCCTAAATCTCCGAGACTATGTTCCATTTTCCTCCTAGGGTCCATTACCCACTCACCCTGGTTTCTGAAGTGGTGCTCTGAATCTTAGTATTATGGTGATGGTTGGTTCTTGAGAATAGCTGCGATGCTAGGCGTACCCCAAACCTGGTGACAATTAAAGTGGTGACAGTGCCTTCAAAACTTCTGTTATGCAGGAGAGGAAAACTGACGTTTAAGTAGGAAGCTTGAACTTTAAATCAATTTGCCACTATTACAAAAATTAGTCTTTATATATAGAGCTCTGCTGGTGGGCAGCCGAATGATTTTTATGTGATGAATCTTCTGTTACTTTGTAAGTTGAATGAACTTCCTGGTGAAATGATGTAATTAGAGTGCCTGGCATGGGAGCCTGCATGTCAGCCTGTGATTTGGTGAGGTACACATTCTTTATGGAAAAGAAAAAATCAGAATGACTGTGGATGGTCTAAGTAGGTGGTTATTTTTATTGTATCAATGCAGAAAAGTTAGATTTTATAAGAAATCTGTGGTTCCCTTTTAAAGAGTTTTTTTTTTAATGTTTATTTATTTTGGGGGCAGGGAGGGGCAGAGAGGGAAAGAGAGAAGCCCAAGCAGGCTCTGTGCTGTCAGTGTGGAGCCTGATGCAGGGCTCGATCTAATGAACCACAAGATCATGACCTGAGCCGAAATCAAGAGTCCGACACTTAATTGACTGAGCCACCCAGGTGCCCCTCAGTGGTTCCCTTTTTAACACAAAATGTGAACATTTGTAAATGTCATAGACTGTAAGAAATGTAGCAGAAAGCATATCAGGTTGGCTTAATTTCTATTTGATCTAATTTTTTTTGGTTTATCAAATATCACAGTGAGGCTCAGAGGTTAATTTTCTTCCTTTTTTTTTTTTAGAGGGTAAAATTTTCAAATGTATTACTTGAAAACTTTTTAAACTAAATGTCATCTTACTAATTATATCAGCTAAGTGTGCACTTAATTTTGTAGACCTATAGGTCTACCTGAGGACATGCATGGAACTTACAGATTTGTTAATTGTGCGAGCCTTAAAAATGTGCAGTTGGTTTATTTTATGGAGAAATGGAGATGTACTTTCAGTAATGCCAAAAGCCATACCGATAAGATGTAGAATGTAGTATGGTAGGATGAGCTCTGGAAGGACAGCCAGGGGATGAGGGCCTCTAGCTTGGGACCTTAAATGAGTCACTGTGATTGCCTTGTTAGAACCATAGTCTTCTGATTTGTGAAATAGGGACTCTTGAGATCTCTTTTAATTATGGAAAAGCAAAACAGCAACAGACAGACTGTACTTCTCAGACAGGTGCCAGTGGGCAGGGGATGCATGGGGCATCCTTCTGACATGTAAAATGAATGCAGTGGCTTTGGGGAAAAATGTTAAGTAATGTAACTGGTAAGTACTATAATGCTTTTGTATAATTAGATGACAACAGATAAGTTATCCAATGGAATGCCACATTTGCATTAATTTTTTGAGATCAAATAAGAGACTTCAAAGCATTTGTGAGCTTTCTGTAGGCTGTGCCCCCCAGATTTCAGGGCAGCTGGTACTCCAGAATGGTATGAATGCCTGTGAGAACCACTGCTTCTGCCTAAAAGGTTGTGCTGTGATTCCAAACCTCCTTCTTATGGGATTCTCAGTTTTGAAATTAAACAAAAATCCCATAATTCATTGCATATTCAATACATTAAGAAATATTGATACACAGAGTTCTAGTCTTTCAATTCTCTAGCCCCCATTTAGAAACAACCACCACCAGAGGCACCTGGGTGGCTCAGTCTGTTAAGCTTCTGACTGATGTTGGATCAGGTCATGATCCTAGAGTCCCGGGATCGAGCCCTTCGTTGAGCTGCACATCCAGCTCTGCATTGACAGCCAGGAGCCTGCTTGGGATTCTCTCTCTCCTCTGTCTGCCCCCCGCCCCACTCATGATCTCTCTTTCTCTCAGAATAAATAAACTTAAGAAAAAATCAACCACCACCTCAAAGCCTTGTAATCCTTGAGTCATACTTATTACTGGTTAATGCCATTTTGTCTTTCCTTCCAGACCTTTTTTCTTTGTGTGTGTTTACTTTTAAGAGAGAAATATGAAAAATATGATTATGTAGTGTATCTTGATATAACCTGATTTTTTAAAATTGATATGTTGTTAATTTAGCAGGTAGATACCTTCTGTATGCCAGGCATGTTGTGGGAGCTGAAGCATCGGTAGTGAACAAAACTTACACAAAAGACCTGCCAATATGGAGCTTACAATTCCAGTGATAATGAGCAGAGTGGATAAGTAAAATGCGTAGTGCTGGGTGGTGTTATGTTCCAAGGGAAAAAAAATCAGGAGGGGGCCTGAAGTGTACGTGTGTGTGTAGTATGGATTGGAGTTTTTTATTTTGTTTTTTTGAGAGGGAGAGACACAGTGGGGGAGAGACACGGGCAGAGAGGGGCAGAGGGAGACCGAGAATATCTCAAGCAGACTCGCAGGCTCCAGGATGTGGGGCTCGATCCCATGACCTTGGGATCCTGACCTGAGCCGAAATCAAGAGTCCAGACACTCAACCAACCGAGCCACCCAGGCACCCCTGGATTGGGATTTTAGACAGCACGGCCAAAGGAGTTCTCAGGGAAATGGTGACGTGTGTGTGAATACTGGAAGGGGCTGAGGGGACAGGCCGTGCAGACGTCTGGAAGGCACTGTGAGCCTATTTCTATCTCAGACACTTTCACCTGTGTTGAAACTGTCCATTTTAATTGTCTGGACATTGTTAACTGTATGGAGGCCATGCTATGTAACCAATCTCTGTATAGTTTCTGGAAGTATTTCAGTGCAGACAACTCTGAGATGGGCTTTGTTGAGTAGCATTTTTGGGCTCATTTACTTGCTTTGGGATGTATTCGTACAAGTGAAATTCCTGGCTTAAAAAAATACATGTGCCTTTTAAAGATCTTAATGAACACTACCAGATTTGGCTTTTCATACTGTTTGTGCCAATTTATGCTTCCAGCAGTGAATGAGATGTTCTCATTTATTTGGTCCTTGCCAATTTGCTAGATTGAAATGGATAGATACAGCATATTAATTTACTTTTCTTAAATTCCCTTGGAAAGGACCTAGGGTAATAGATTTTATTTTATTTTTTGACATTTTTTGATTGAAGACATATGTATGGTAAAAAGCTGTTATCAATTTACTAATGCTTTTAAACAAATTTGTATTTGAGTGGCCCCAGCAGTATTCATTGAAGGTAAAGAAGCATTTCTCAGTCTTCACACAGTGTGTGTAAATAGGCCTTCAGACTTCTTGGTGTGACTTTTCATACTGGCAGAGGTCTGAGGGTCACCGGCTGGTAAATCCAGGCAGATAGTACTATTTGATGGCGGGGTAATAGAAATTCCTTTTACTTAAAGCTGTTGTGTTAGAAACTTCTGTCCACTAAAGATATTCGATCTTTGAGTATGTAATACAGGTTAGTATAGAATCATAAGAAGTTAACCACTTAAAATAAGGAGTGCTTTTAAATCATTTTGAAATGTGTATGTTTAAAAATTGTGTATTATGTTGAGTGGTGCCCTCCAAATTCATGTCCGCCCAGAACTCAGGATCTGATTTTATTTGGAAATAGGGTCTTTACAGATGTAATTAGATGAGGACATAGTAGGTTAGGGTGAATCCTAAGTCAAATGCGACTGACGTCCTTATGAGATACACACACACTGGGGAGGTGGCTGGGTAAAGACGGAAGAAAGGTTAGAGTTAGTCATCTTAGTTGCCACAAGCTAAGGGACACTGAGGATTGTCAGCAGCCACCAGAAGCTGGAAGATGCAAGGAAGTGTTCTTCCCTAGAGACTTTGGACGGAGCATGGCCCTCCCAACACCTTGATTTTGGACTCTCGGCCTCTAGGACTTTAAGACAACAAGTCTGTTGTTTTAAGACACCTATTTGGAGGTAGTTTGTTAAGACAGCCCTAGGAAACTAATACAATTAGGAGATCGTGTTTCACCTCTTATTACTACGTGAGAGCTGGGTCAGTGGAGGTGAAGCTTTTCCGTCGTGGAGATCTTTGCTTAAATAGTACTTTCAACAGAAGTACCAAAATGTATTGCACAGGCAGAATTCTCTGATTAAAGGGGGAGGGTGTTGCAGAGTTTTCCAAATTAGGACCTCTTCTGCCCCTCCCTCTCCCTCTTGTGCAGAGCACAGAGTGGATACCACCGGTCTGCCTAACTTGTTGCGCTCCCAAGAACTCACGGGCTAGAAGTCAGATAAGACAGAAGGCACATTGAATGTGCTTTGCTGAAGCTGGAGTGGGGAAGCTGGAGTGGGGAGGCTGGGTAGCCAGCATTTTTTCACCTCGGGGAATTTGTCACCGTCCGGGATCTGAAAAGGTTCACAGCATCCACCTCTCCTAGGTTGAGGTGCAGGCATGCGGATGCTAGCTCATGTTTGCTGAGGGCTTATCATGTGCCAGCCGTTATGCTGTTTCTGAGGAGAAAAACCTATAAAGGGAAGACAGATGGATTCTTCGGCTGCTCAGAAACGTACGGGGAGCCATCGGGCAGTTTGATGTGCAGGTGTTGGCGCGCCAGCTCCACGGTGGTTCCATCCGAGCGGGCGAGCTGTGGGCAATCCGCCCCCTGTGCCTCCTGGAGCAGGCTGTGCTTGCGGTCTAGAACCCTCCTTTGTTCGGGTCCTTCCATGGGGCTTTCATTCTTCCACTTCCAGAGAGATTATTGGCTTCCCTTCCAAGTTCTGGTGACCCTCATTTTGCCCCCAGTTGTTGCCCATATCCTTTTTGATCTTTAATCCACATGTATCCAGGGAACCAGTTGGTAGAAAAATGGGGGTGTTCAACTCTTGGTGAACAAAGTATGTACTGAGAGCAATGGCATTAGTGAACTGAGCATATGGAACGTACACTCTAGACTTGAGTCACATGCTGGGTGGGAGGTGGGC